CAGAAACTGTGGTATTGTTTTTCCTTTGTTCATTATCTAAAGTCGTTTTTCCAAGTACTTAAACGGAACGGGATCACTAAAGACATTTATTTTCAATCATTTTGACTTAGTGAAATATTTTAACTTTAAATTAGCCTTAATTCACAATAGCTGTGACCACTTGCATGCATGCATCCACACACACAATCTCACAAAACATTTGACCAACTTTCAGCCTCAAAGGGTGAAAACAGTTTGCCGCATGTATGGTATAACAGACATTGCAATTTTCAAATGTAGGGTTAGGATTAGGTATGTTTCTTTGTACTGGAGGGGACCATATTTGCACAGCTTGATTGAGAAATATGACTAAGTGACTGTCATACTGCAAATGTAAAGTAATATAACTTATGTATTTTAATTGTACAGTCCTTCTTTCTTATGACTATTTTATTTCCAGTTTCCAAAGGAATTGGTTGAAGTACGTTTTGTTCCACCACTTTTTTGTCAGTAAAGCTCATAATCTAAAATATGAATTGCCACATAATTGTTTTAATTTAGTGCCATCTTCAGGTCAACATGTATTTATTTACTTATCTTTGAAATACTTTTGTAATTAAAAAGACATTCTTGTCAGCCTCAGCTTTGTCGTTTATGCTAATTGGCAAATACTAGCATGCTAAATGCTATCCTAAGTAAGTAAACATGGTTAAAAATACTACATTTTAAAAATCAGTGTTAGCATTGTCATTTGGAGCGTGTTAGCAGCACACATGCAGTGAATATTATTACTCGCCTGTCTCACTAAAATACTGTTTACTAGTTCCTCAAATTAGATGGCATGTTTCAAATAAACAGAGTTGTTTCCTGTTATGAAGAGGATGTTTCTGATTGTCCCACTCCCTTAATGCAAATGCAATTCACTCTTCACAAAAAGAAGTTGGATTTGACTTCTCTCTTCACTTCTATCACTGGCCAGTGTTTATTTATTTGGCTCTTTTCATTTCCTGTACAGTGCAATCCCTTTATAGGATATCCAAAAGCTTTACCACATAATCTAAAGCTGTGGCACTAAATATAAAATGTAGTGAAGAGGCACCAGAGGAAACCCACCTTTTATCTAATGTCATGGTCTTGTTTATGGTACTAGTGCCTGATACTGTGGGAAACATGCTTGTCAGGAACCGGCCGATAGCTTGGCCGGTGGTATTGCTGCTTGCAGTTTTTTTAATCAACGGTTTACAAAAACCTCTTTACACTTGACACTAAGAAAAACATTTGCCATAACATAGTTACGTCCCACCCCAAAGGTCGTGGCTACTCACGATTGGAAACAACGGTGAAATAAACTCACGGTAAAAGAAGCGTTTATCAGAAATTAAAAAAAATAGGCAACTGCCTTGGCCCCAAACTAAAAAGGCCCATAAACAGCTAGATCGATTTAAATTTGTAATATAATTTATATGACAAAATATTGAATTATGTTACTGTAACTTGTACCACTAAATTACCTAGTAAAAGTTTCCCAAGCCCACAATTCAACAGGATACTACTAACTGTGCCCTTCTACTTCAGTGGATACCATTGTACTACTAAATGTACCTCACAGAGAAATGTTTCTGGTTATATTGCAGATCACATTTAACACATTATTAATTCAACTATCAAGAATCGTTTTAGTGCTCTGCCTTGGCGTTATTAGTGGTATAAGTTAGTAAAGCAAATTTAACAAACTTTTATAGTCATTATTCTGCTCTGCAAGACAATATGACACAAAAATAGTTTTAAAAAAACTATTTAGAGTTCACAATATAAAAACAACTATTTTGCAATGGCTGAGTGGCAGAGTTACTGTGGGAGTTCAGGTTAGAGTTATGTTGTATGAATAATATATTCAGCATCCTGTCCATGAGGGCCCATCTGCTGCAGACGGCATGTTTGACTCTGCAGGGCCTTGATGCCCCGCCACACGCTGCTGCACAGAGCTCAGTTAACTTTTGTTCCCATTTATTATTATTGAATGTGTTGCATGTCCAAAAGTCACTAAATTTGACAAGGCATTTCTTGGTACCCCCTGGCAATACACCCACCAAGTGTGAAGGCCACAAGGGCAGCGATTCGTGTTTTGTAGTTAGATGTCTCAAAATTACCAATTTATAATTTATTAAAATGCTATCAACACACTCAAAACACTGCAACACATACATGCTAACAAAAATCTTCCTGAACAATGAAAGAAAGTTAGGACTTAAAAAAAACTTTAAAACAAACCCCTGAGAACAACATATGCTGCACAGTTTCTCTGGCTACCAGAGACACCTTGGCACAGCTGGCAGTTTGCTCCACGGTGAGCTCAAAGAAAATCCAAAGTGCAGATGTTTTTACTCACAGCGAGAACATTTTTTCATTGTTCATAAGTTGACGTCATTACGTTTATTTTGGGACAGATTGTTTGCCAGTCTAAGTATTTGAGTGCTGGATAAATGCTTTTCAAAATAACCATATGAGCTCTGCATTAAGACCCTATGAGGATGTTTAATCAGAGATGACTGGTTGAGAGAAGACCAGAGACAATAGAGGAAACCAATCATCTATTATTTTGAATACGACTTGATTTTTGCCCCAGTTTATTTTGCAGTGTAACTGATGGAACACTAAGCTTTAACTATTGTGTGGCCCTTATATTTGTCCGTATATGGCCTACAATCCAAAACATTTAAATGTGCACTGATTTATCAGATTTCGCCATTTTATAGTGTGCATTTGATTTGACTTCAGCCTCAGCACCTCAGTCCACCTGCACATAACAGGTGCCTTTGTTACTGTATCAATATTTTACCGTAATGCTCCTTACGGTAAAATATTGATTAAAGGATGAAAGGAGACACCCTGGGAATCAGGACATAAGTATCAGGATGATGTATGCAGAATTAACCTTTACTCTGTCTACCGATGACTTTGTTCACATCTGTACAGTCTGTTAGTCGAAACACAGACTCTAGCTTGTACCTTAAGGATGTCTCCTTTGATCATATACATTTCCCCCTGAAATAACATAACTGATCAGTGTAATAATGTCCATTTAGCAGACAGGTTTACATTTGACCTCAGTAATCTGTCCCTGCATGGTGAGACAGATGTCGCGGGAAAAGGACCTCGGCTGAAGTGCAGCACGACTTATTTACCGTCTGTAATAAGCTGCAGAATACCTAATGACTGCGTTAATTTTAACGTAACAGATATGATGACATATGTACCTGTTTTCACGGCTGTATCAGCAAGACAGCGGTCCCATTTCCGTCCATGTACGTCAGCCATGTTTTCAGCTGTAAGGAGGAAGCTCCGTAAAATATCGCGAGAGAAATGAAAATCACGTGAACACACCCCACTACCACTACCACCACCACAGCCTCAATGAAGTATTTATGCACTGTCAAACTACAAAACACATCAGTATTTTTTGTGTTCTTTAACCGTTAATTTTACTCAGCTTCTTAAATAACATTTGACCATATAATAGGGTATGTGAGGTAAGGCCCTACTCGATGAGTCTAAACCTTCCTGTTTTTAATGTATATATAAATTACATAGGCTATATTAACCTATTAGATTATTGTTACATTATTTATTGTTTTAATTTGACATCATTTTGAAAAGTATTTATTCCTTAAATAAGCTCTTGAAAATGAAATTGCTAACTTTCTGGTTTCCCAGGTTGTTCAACATCCTAGTGTTTTTGGTAAAAGTTCTTCATATCACAACATTTATTCGTAATATTGAACATCAGATACTGATCTGAAAACTATAACTACTATGTTCCAATTCAAAGTTATACGCAACAATAACATTATGTAAAAAAATACATACCTCTCCATTAGCGCCCATTTCCTTATGTTTTTACTGGAAGATAATCTAGATGTGGCATATTTTGAGAAAATAATTTGAGCCACACCTTCTCTAATCAAAAACATGACTTGTTCTTCAAAAACCTTTGATAACAAATCATTTTGAGATTGTTGCTGGATTTCTTCTCTCATGAAATGTAGGCGGACATCCTTTCCACTCAAAGTCAATAATATACAGATGTCTAAAGGGTTTACAGGCAGGTTTCCCATTTACAAACAATCCAGGATGCAGAGCAGCTTCAGGGTGGAAAGAAAATGTGGTTTATGTCATAAAAGCTTTGATATGGAGAATTTTCTAAACAAATAAGAAATATTATTGAAAAATAAATAGGACCGGGTCCCGAATGCCTGTTCTTTATGACACACCTCACAATAGTTAACCCCAAGACATATGGCTGACATAGACACAGTGAAAAACATGAACCCTGACTACTGGAAATGGGGATAACTTATCTTTCCACCAAAACATACAAGACATACAGTATGTCAGAAGATATGCTTGTAAAAAGGGTGTGGACAGAAATAAGGGTGGAGAATAGTCAATATTAAAAGAAATTATGACCTTTCACACATATTAAGAAACAAAAGGGTCTCAATGTTTTCTTTGGTGAAGGACCTTTTTTTCTAACTCCATCATTTCATATTGAAGACAAAATGTAGAACGATAAGCTTATATGGCAAGGCTCTTGCGGAGAAAACAAAAGCCTTGCAATATTTTATGGATTTATAACCTAAAAAATAACTCCAATAATGTTTAATATTAAATAATGTATTAAAGTAATTCACGGATATTCTGTGTTCTTACCCTTAACAGAAGATCCAAATGTAATATGATTTATGGTAAATTGGGTTAAACATATTTTTGATTCTTGATAATATACATATCACATCAGAAAGTATTGCTACAAAACAGAAGAGAAAAAGAGTGATCCGTAGTTTCTATTCCTTCACACAGTGTACATGTCTGCCTACTGCCCTCACTCTGAGTGCATATTTTCTGCACCACTCCTCTCTTTCCATACTTGGCAATGCCTTTCTTGCTCCTTCGCTATTGGCTGCTGCAGAGAAAGCCCGGAGTGACCCGGACATGCAACCGGGCCTGTTTTCTGGCTGCAGCCTCCTTCCTGTAGCCCGGTTGAGGAAGTGAATTTCGATGACAGGGCTGGGTTCAGTGAGGGAGAGGCGAACAAAACATCTTCCGCGGGGGACTAAAAAAACACACAAAACAACAGCAGACGAGCGAAGAGATTTGATAAGCCCACTGCAAAACTAAGGTGTAGAGACATCGGTGAAATCTTCCTCCCTGCCCCGCTGAGACGGCCGCAGACATGGTAAGGGCCGAGAGAGACGGGAGAAGAGGGTTTGGTGGCGCTGCCTGCTTAAAGAAGCGTCAACGGCTAAGCTAACGCTAGCTGGAGCTGCTGGGTGGGTAACCTGAGAGCAGAGGCACCAGGGGGTTCAAGTGTATAAATCACCGATGCATATCTTTCTTGCACTGTTGGCAAAACTTCTGCGTAATGGATACGGATGCATTAGCTTCGTAGCTAAGCTAGCAGTTGTTTCTTACTGATAGTTAGCTAGTAGCTAGCCGTTAGCCAAGCTAGGTGCCCCGTAGGCATAAAGTTAGCACAGGATGTTTTGGATTTGACACAAGTTCGTGAGTTGTATCAGTGAAGAAGAGTCCTAATATCGTGTGCACACACACATACACACGCACACACACACGATCCTCCAGGCGCGCACAACACACGCACATACAGGCTAATATAGTCAAGCGCCGGGTTGCCTGTAGCTAAAATAGACTGCTTGCTCCTCCTATTCCTAGACTAGCTGTCAGCCTACTCTCTTAAGTGCTTTCTGCCTTGTGAGTTTGATCTAGACTTGACCAATACTTATCTGGGAAATGCTCAACTCTGACAACCCTACATATCATACCTGCAATCATTGTTTACACCTTGCTTGTTTTTGAACATTTGTCTCATTCCTCAATCTCATATGCTTGTAGCATCACTTTAATTGATCATGCATTTAAGTTAATGTTTAAGTTAATGTTGACTATTGTAGCATAATGAAGCAACACTTGCTTTTCCCAAGCTTCCCACTGTTTAAACTGTTTGGTAGTACTTTCATTTGGTGACCTAGATTGTCTTGTGCTTGAGTTGGGAGGAGCAGCTGCTTTCTCTCCACAGTCGCCCACTCTCCTGGCCTCACCTCATCCATCCTGCTGGCTGAGCCCTGACCCCGGGGGTTGTTGGTCTGAGCTAGTGTTTACACGGAGACAGGAGCACTGGTAAACACTGTGTCAAGGAGTGCAGGTGTCTGATGGTGCAGACTGATTCATCAGCTGAGAAAGATGTGTAGACAGGCAAAAAGCAACTCGGAGGAGAGGAAATGGCACGGGAGACATTGCTTAGAAACTTCTGTGATGTTCAGGGTCACCCATAAGGGGAAATGTTTATGGAAAGAGGGTTCTCTACTTTATAACATGTCATGGTCCTTTGTCCAGCCCTCAGCAGTAAAAGTATACTGTTAGGTTTATGTTACTTCATAAGTAAGCCAAGGCAGAGGGTTTTTCGACCTCTTAAAGGAAAGAGAATTAAAAGGGTAAAGCAAACATCTATTGCTATGGTGCTATTTGGGAATTAGATTTAAACACAATTATTCTGA